TTCTGTGGGTGTATATCTGTTACCTTGTCTCCTTGTGTGCGTGATTATCTTTGAATACTGTGTTTGAAGAATTATTTGTGGAATAATATTAGGACTAAGATGAAGGGATTTCCTTTTGTTTCTGCCAGACCCTTCTTAATTTCTAGATTTTAGATTTTCTACATTACTAAGGTGGCTGTAAACCATGTTAGAACCTGGTTTACTTCAGGTTCTTCTTTACTCTTACAGTAAACCTTTATGGTGTCCCAGACCTTACTTTGCTTTTGTCTGCTTAGCTCACCTCTTGGTCAATTTTTGTGCATCAGCAAATTGCCTCTAGGGTAAGTGATGCCCAAGTGCTTTTCTAACTTCTCTGGGTTTTAGCCTTTTCTTGAATCTGGCTAGGTAAATGTTCTTAAATCTTCTTTATTGTTGTTGTTGTTATGTGCCATCGAGTCAGACCCAACTCATAGCGATCCCTCCTTGGGCTTCTGAAGCAGTATCACTATGGAAGTAGATTGCCCAACCTTCCTTCTTAGGCTTTGCTTTTTCAAGAAAATATTTTTCTATGTTTTATTGAGTTTTTTCATTTGTTTTCAGTGGAAGGATTGGTCCAAATAATCAAGCTTTCTAGTGCCTATTTTTTTTTTTTAATTAATATTATTTAAGGGAGCTCTGGTGGCATAATGCCTAAGGCATTTGACTGCTATCCAGAAGGCTGGCAGTTCAAACCCACTAGCCACTCCTTGGAAGGAAGGTTGGGGCAATCTACTTCTGTAGTGATACCGCCTCAGAAATAAAAATAGTACAGGAAACATCAAATAGTATTTAAAAGCTTACAATGAGAAACAGCAGTTTCTCCCTACCCCTTGGTCTTGTACCGCATAAGTAACTATTTTGAACTGTTCTTCTAGTATTTACTCTTATATTTATATATTATATTGTTTTTATTTAGAAATTTAATTTCTTTATAGAAATTATAATAAACACTTTCCTGCTTATATACTGGATAGATTTTTCCCATATGAGCTCAGTTATGTGAAAGCACTGTCATTTATTGACTGGTTTCGTTGTTGATGGACACTGAGATTGATTCTGGAGTTGTGTTTTTACAAACAATGCTGAGATTAATGTCTTTTTAAAAAATATAAATTATTTGTTATTTTTGGTTGTTGAGAATTTACATAGCAGAACAGATACTAATTCAACAGTTACTACATGTCTCATTCAGCAAGACTGATTGCATTCTTTGAGTTGTGCAGTCATCCTCACTATCCTTTTCTGAATTGTTTCTCCTTCAATAACATAAATTCAGTACTTTGTAA